CGTAGCAGGAGGCCTCATTTCAACCCAAACTCTACATCGCCGACGACTATTCCGCAGGATTATCACTACAGTATCTCGGTACATTTACAAGAATAATCCCGCATCGGGCTGGTGCGCCCGGAAAGTTGTACCGAAGGAACATGACGTAAGAACGCCCTGTAGAACATTTACGCACACACAGGCAGATACAGCAGCTGCAGCAGTATCACAAGATCCACCCACCACCTCACCATCTCTCCACACACGCACTGTTAGTTGCAGGGCATAGGGAAGGAAGCAACGGCCGCCAGAAATTCCATCTCACTCTGAACGTTGACGAGAGAGCGGCAAGAATGTGGTGAGTGCCCGTGTTTCGCGTGGGCGTCGTCAGGCTTGAAAGATAGCCCCTCGCCCTCGCGAGCGGCCCTGCGTGTGGTAGGCATACAGAACGATGCACACAAAAGGCGACAGAAGAAGCTGGGATATCGTCTAACGTACATCGGCATCGCTGCCGTGTTTGTGGCCAGGGCCCGCCACCAAGGCCCGTCCGTGTTCACAAAGCACCAACTCCCCAACCACCCCAGCCACACTCGGGTCGGTGTATGTTGTTCATCGGGGTTGAGCATGTGATGCACTTCTAGTGTTCTGATTTCTGCGGATTTCAAGAACATCATCGGACTTTTTTTCCGGTAATGGCTCTACAACGAACAGCCGAACAGAACAATGTTAGTCTGGGCGTGCGGCGAGGGCGAGGGCGACTCTCCTCGCCTGTCTGTGCTTCCACCACGAGCCACCAACCCGTTCAGATAAATATTTAGATACCACACAGTAGCCGTCAGCAAGTGGAGGGGTGCGCCACTCCGTGCGACAGAAGGTACTGATGACTCGCGGCTGCCGATTTCACACGTGCCGGTTCGCTACAGGCAGATGTTCGTAGCGAAACAATCCAAAGCCGTTTCCTTTTTTTGCAGTTATGCACTTGACCCGCAGCCGGAGCACAAGCTTGCGCATGGCAAACTTGCGCATGACCGCTTGTGTCCTCGATGACTTCCCTTCTGCCGCTGATGAGTATGGGTATACTTTTATTTTTGGATTGTGACGTTGATCGCAGGAAGCCGGGCCAGGTGCTTGAATCGCACCGGCGTCGGGCGGTGGTGGTTTGGACCGTGTCGGTGGTCGCCATCTTGTCATGTGAGCATTTCGACACAACTCGATATGGCCTAGACTAAAGCACACGATCGTACAATCAAAGATGGATACTACATATTACGCCTGTTGCATACATGGGCAGCAGTCAATCGATCGCCGAGCATAGCGCGTCGAGAGTACCAGCCCTTGCTGGATGATATTGAGATGTGTAGACTAGACTACTTTATCACAGCGCTAGAAAGAAATACTGGGCTTCAAATTCTTATATACATGGAGATCAGACCTCCGGCAAGTCTACCGTACCCGGAGATCTCCATCGAAAGGAACAATCATCAGTACATCCATGAACCTGTTAATCGTAAGATGCATCACGTATCCGGATGCGATGCCCCTGCCTCCTCGCGTCCTCACACATCTGATCTGGCTGGGTAGTTTCGTCGTAAATTTCACGCCAACGGATGGCGGCACCAGCCGATGACAGCAGTGGTTGGTTCCCGGGCAGTGAGCACGTGAGCTGAGCACGGAACCATCGTTGTTGATTGCTAAAGTGTTCTTTTTGCAGCCGCAATCGGCAACGTTTCGACGTCGGGCAACGATGATATTGATTGCTGCTGTTGTTGTTGTTGTTGTTGTTGTTGTTGTTGTTGTTGTTGTTGTTGTTGTTGTTGTCTTGACATAAAAAAAAAACGTTCCGATCTCTCTCTACCCAGTACCTTCGTATGTCCATACTGATCCAACACTCAACGCGGTCGATTCCCGTGGTCGCAGGCAAACTTACCCTCGAAAGGTACACTCAAATAAAATAGCCCCTGAGGGGTCCGCAAGTCAATAGAAATCAACGACAGATATTCTGGAGTCCTTCACTCCCTCTGCGCGCTATGCGAGGTAACAACTGAGACTAGGAGTCACCATCACGGGCCGGAGAGAATGAGGTACACCCCCTTGGTTCAATCTTGGTACTTCACAACAGGCAGAAACAAGGCCATCTGGCACAGAAAAAGAGAGAAAAGGAGAAAAAGAGAAGAAAATAAAAGGAAACAGTAAGGAAAGAGAAAATGAAATAAACAGAGCGAGGACAGGAAGGGACTAGGCCAAAAATAACCAGAACCACGAGACAGAAAAAGGCACACGATGGAAAGACCACTAACGACAAGCAAACACGCAAACATGGCCACCAACCAGCGATACATTGTAATGGTCCGTCATCACTAGTGGGAGTTGGTGCAATGGTGCAGCGTTCGGGGAGGTGGGGGTGTACTCATAGTCGTGCACGCCGTAGTCGTTAGACCATTGACCTCGCATCCCTACAAAGCCGGGACGGAGCACGCCGGGTTCTCACCGGACCAGGCTCTCACATCACCAAGCGCGAAGCGCCGTGAGATATTCGGCGAGTCGCATGAAGGGTGCGCTGCATCCTGCTAAGGGTGTTCGGCATCTTGTGCTTACTTCCTTGCGTACGGATGACAGCTGCGTATGAATTAATTTATTTTCTGGTGCTTTCACTTCCAGAGACAGTTGTAAGCACTGTGTAACTGCCTCGAGGGTGCTTGACCATTTTAACACAACGTGGTGCGATCATCCCCCTTGCGCGGAGTGAGGGTTCTCCACCCCGCACAACATGATCTACTCGACCACCATTATGGTTACCGCCAAAAAAAAAACCGAGGCAACGAATATATAACACGGAAACCTGGTTGCCGAGTTCACGAAGTGAATTGGCCTTTTTTACAACGCGTTGCCAAGCGACGAATACCCAAGCCCGATGGCAAACACCGAGGGGCGGGGGGGGGTACTCATAGTCGTGTAGCAGTAGTCGTTGGACCATTGACGTCGAATCCCTACAAAGCCGGGACGGAGCACGCCGGGTTCTCACCGGACCAGGCTCTCACATCACCAAGCGCGAAGCGCCGTGAGATATTCGGCGAGTCGCATGAAGGGTGCGCTGCATCCTGCTAAGGGTGTTCGGCATCTTGTGCTTACTTCCTTGCGTACGGATGACAGCTGCGCATGACTTAGTTTATTATCTGGTGCTTCAACTTCCAGAGACAGTTGTTAGCACTGTGCAATTGCCTCGAGGGTGCTTGGCCATTTTAACACAACGTGGTGCGATCATCCCCCTTGCGCGGAG